CCCCCAGTTCAGGTCTGACCCTGCCACCCCTCAATTCAGATTTGACCCCACACCTCTTACCCCCCATTCAGGTCTGACCTCGCCCCCCCCAGCTCAGGTCTGACCCTGCTCCCCACCCCTTCAGGTCCAACCCTTGTACGACAGAGGGGCTCCCACTTTTCCTCAGCTAGCCCTGCCACTTGTAAAGAGCTTGAAAAAATTCTTTTTTTTTTGCCTCTGTGGAAGTGGGACAGAGGGAGCCACCACACCAGGGGCTGGAGGAGGAGGCAGGCCTGACAGGCCTTTTCTTAGCTGTTTCTGCCTCTTGTAAAGTGCTCGTGCCATTTTTTTTTTTTTTTGCCTCTGTGGAGGTGGGACAGAGGGAGCTGCCACACTGGAGGTTGCACAAAGAGGTGGCGCTGCCGGAGAGGCGCCTGCAGGAGGAGGCAGCAGAGGGAATCCTGTTTTAGCTCAGCTGTCCCCGGCCCCAGCCTCTCACCCCGTGCAGCCAGTGGGCACATGTGTAGTTAGGCAAAAGTGTTATGGACAGACAGACACACAGGCTAAGACTTTTATTATATTAGATTTAGAAACATCAGGAATTATTAATAAAAACATGACATTTTCATGTAGTTGGCTGAAGGGCAGTTAAATTAGGCAATTGCGTAACACTGTACAGCACACAGTCACCAGTTTAAATTACACAAGAAGATGCTGCTAGGTGCTGGTAATATCTGAGTTAGGAACAGTACAAAACAACTTGGAACACCATACCATTGCAAGACCAAATCAAAGTAATACTTTCTTAGGCCTGAGCTATAAATAGATGTGTTCAAGATCAGACAACCTTACTTATAACTTTGTTAAACTGTCAAAAGTATAACTTTACAGCTTTTTAAGATCATTCTGAACTACAAGTATGAAGACTAAAAACATGGTTGGATTCAAGCTTAGGACTTGGACAGACATTCAGTTTCTACAGGGAGATTTCTTGCTCTCTCTGGAGAAACCTTGAGTGTACAGAAGTTTGTGATTTTTCTCATAGAGTAAAAGTAGCCACTTGGGGAAAAAAATAGCTTGGAAACACCCCAAATGAAGTGGTTTCTCAGAGAATCTCTCTTAGGAGATAGAACTTCTGTACAGGCAACAGATGCCAAGCTGACCTCTGCAATCCCAGTGTGCTTTGTTTTTCTTCTCCTCTCACAGGAGAGAGAGTGTGTGCCAGTTTCAGTCAAGCAGGAAACAGAGCATGCCTCCTGAGTGCTTTGGGCTGAAAAGCCCAACACTGAAGCACTTAGGGGGTGTGTAGTGCTCCTGGCTTGTTTCTTGCCTGAATCTCACTGCAGCACTTGGGTGCCAGGAAACATGTAAGAATATGTCCTGCCCAGCCTTACCTAGGCTCCAACACAGCACAGGGGAGAAAAAGGGCTGGAGGACTCTTCTGTGCATAGCACAGACCCCACCCCTACCTTCTCTGACCCTGACAATCCCTGTCTACATTCACTTAGAAAAAAAGCCTGGAAAACGCTGCATGCTCAAGGGACGTCTGGCAACCCAGGCTCTGCATTGCAGGCTCTTTACTTCTCTGTCTGAACTTATGTACCGGTCATTTTTTCTGTCACAAGATAGCTGTGTTGGCAGAGTTTTAAAAAATGTAAATTTACTACTGGGGCTTGTTATCAAACTTTTGCCAGAACACTGTCAGAGAAGTGATGGTCAGAGATAGTTGAAAGTTTCAAACTGTTGCTACTAGATTCAGCCTACAAGCTACTTTTTTTTCAAGGCAATACGAAGGATAGAAGAATAAATCAAATGAGTAAAGGAGAGAAGAGAGTTGAAGGAAAACATTAGGCAAATGGGGACAGAAAGATTATTACAGATATAAGAGCCAGTATGATAGGAACCACAAAGTTAAGAATAGATGAAAATAAGAGAAAATTGGAAGAGGATGTGGAAAGAAGACAATTGTGGCAGTTATGCCTAAATACAATATAAATATAGAGTACATGTTTTTATCCTGTAATATAGGATATATTCCTTATATAAACAACTTAGAATTCTAATTCTTTCTTTACTACTTCCAGTTGTAATGAAACAAGAGCACAGAGATGAGATGGATTTGTCTGCCGTTCCATCTTTGACCCTGCCTCATACTGGTAGTGTTCAGGGCCTACATTCTATCCGAACTCAGCTGCCTTCATCAGATCCAGGGCACCCACATGATAGTTTACTGTCTACGTCACCCAGGAGCCTTCTGTGTCCTGTTCAGCAGCCATATACATCCATGGTGACCTCAGCAGTTCCCCATCTGTCTCACATTCAAGGTAGAACCATCAATCCAGGTGAAGAGTGTCGTGTTTTGCCTCCTGCTGTGGTTCAGTCTTTTCAAGTAACATCGGCACCTCCAGTGAGGCCTTCTTACCAGCCTATGCAAACTAATGTTATATATAATGGACAATCTGGTCTTCCCATGAACTCTGCTTCTAGCCAAGGATTTGATGCTATTTCATTTCAACAAGATGCAGCTATACCTCATTTGATAAATCTTAGCTGCCAGCCTCTGACACCCATGCAGTTCCATTCTTCAAATCCAGGGTCAGTGTCAACTTCAACTACAGCAGGACATTCTTTGGCACACCCAGCTCATTCAGGACCATCATCCCCTCATCTGCAGTCAATGGGATACCATTGTCCAAACACTGGGCAAGCTTCTGTCTCCTCAACAATGAACCGGAGCCTTGGACAACCTTCCTCTCAGCTGCAGCAAGCTGCATACCATTCATCAAACCCAGGGTCTGCTTCATCACCATCCCCAACAACTTCCCATCCTTTGGTCCATTCACCACTGTCTGGACCATCTTCTCCACAGCTACAGTCTATGCCTTATCAGTCTCCTAGCTCAGGACCTGCACCATCGCCACCTCCAACATCTGTAAGTCACTCTGGACAACTTTCTCCTCAAGCACATAGTCCAGGATTGGGAGGTCTTAATGCAGCTTCTTCATTAGTACATCACAGTGTATGCGATTCATCTCCATTTTCATCAGATGTGGCAGCTATTAACATCAAACCAGAACCTGAAGATAGAGAGTTAAATTTTCAAACAATAGGATTGCAAGACATCACACTAGATGACGGTAAGTAAATATAACTTCTCAGTGCTGGGAATTTTTTGAGGTTCTAGTAATGTTAGCAACTTCATTGAAACAATGAAGCAAAGGAAATCATAGAATCATAGAAAATTAGGGTTGGCAGGGACCTCAGG